CAGAGAGACACATAGACAACACCTAGAGAGACAGCCACAGAGAGAGAAATACAGAGAGAGACACAGAGACACATACAGAGACACACACAGAGGGATACACCCAGAGACACAGAAAGACACCCACACACCGAGACATACACACAAAGTGACACACCGAGAGAGAAACACACATACACATAAATAGACACAAAAGAGAGACACACGCAACATCACAGCAAGTTTTAGACTTCTACAAAAAACGAGAGCCACCACCACATCGAGAGAAAGGGACAACGTTGGCTTTGTTAGTGAGACATTTAGCCCGTTAATGAGCGAATGGATTTTTACACAAGGTCGAGTGGAAAGATATCGCAAATTCTCTTCAAATATGACGTTTCATTACAGAAAGTGACGGTCAAAAATAAATATACACAGCACGGTGCTACATCCGTACGTGACGTCACTGCAAAAGAGCCCCCCGCCATTAATAATCATGAGTGGGTGGACTTTTACACTCCCCCCAGGTCGAGGGGAGCAACATCTTTTTACGGAAATTCGCTTAAAATTTGACGTTTCTTTATTGAAATTTTATTAAAAATAATTGACCTAGCTCCAAGTGATGTCACTCTTCCTTTCGTACTGCAACGACGACAAATTCCGATAATTCCTGCATATGTGATGACGATCAACAAGTGCCAGAGTCAGACTTTTGAAAATGTGGGAATTTACCTCGATGAACCCATATTTTCCCATGGACAGTTGTGTGTGCTCTGTCTAAATCTAAAAATCCTCGGCGGATCAAAGTGTTCATCAAGGATAGTCAACTGCAGGGAAACCTTTTGAACAGTTATAAGAGATTCACACACTGTTGCATACCGAGAAATCTTCCAAAGTCCTTAATTTCATTTTTTCAGTTAAGAACATTGTATTTATATGCAACAATTCCTACAAAAAGCTTACAATCATACAAGAACATGCAAATGTACATCTTTAATATTACAACTTCCGTCCTAGGATGGGAAAAAGGCTAGTATATACAGAATGAGCAAGATGTCGAGGTTGTGACGTGGGTTCGATTCCCGGCCATGGCTGTCTCATCAGCTGAGAGTGATCTGCGGTCTACAACTACAAGTCAGTTGAACTTGTCGGGGAGGCTGATGTCAGGGAGGCTGACCACCGGCTCCTCACTCACGTTGGACCCGCTGCTCCCCTCTTCCGTGTCCTGGAGAGGATTACTGCTCACCAATTCCCCCCCCCCCCCCCCTCGCTGCGGCCCCTCGGGGCATGATTCGTGTCTGGCACTTAGCCACCTGGGGTCAATTTACACACTCTCTGCGCACACTCACGAACACACAGTCACCCGAAATCCGACGTCGCTCCTCTTCCATGCCGCACGCCAATCGCGCGCATGGGACTGGGGGTCGGGGGTCAGAGGGTAGGGACATCACTTGCACACGCGCAGCCGATTTGGGGGTTGTCTCGGAGATTTATTTAAAGGGCTGTATGGACAATCTCACGGGTACGCCACCCGTTCACCTCATGCACACGCTAAAAAAAGGCCGCACGAATAATCTCGCGCGTACGCCGCCCGTTTGCCTCTCGCACACTTTAAACACAAGGGCGTATGAGTAATCTCATGTGCCCCTGTATGAGTCCGCCGCCGCTCACCACACGCACACGCTAACCACGAGCTACATGCATGGGCGAGCGCAAACACGTGGGTAAATACACACTCGCGCACAAATACAGGGTACAACGATGCACACCACCATGCGTCCGTTCCACCCTCGTAGAAACCACACAAGGTTTATTCAGCACCAACAGTTTATTCTCAGCGAGTCCGAGGCTAAATTACCCGAGTCGGTTTGAGTCAGCAGGGCAGGTCTAACCTATCTCCCGATGGTCTAAGACCCAATCTGTCCCGCCTCTTTCGAATCACTCTCCCAGGAAAATCTCACAATGGCCTCAATATCTTACTCTCGGGTACTCATGGTTCGCCTCATACGGAGCTGCTGGGTCGGATCCTCGCTGCACTTCGACTCATCACACGGACGTTCGAGTGGCTGGGAATTCGACGGCCCCGAGCGCTGGCTTGAGTAGAACACGAACTAACCCTATCCCTACCTTCTCTCCTTTTTTTGTTGTCCTCTACATCAAAGATAAATCGGCGCTGATCCGCTGGCCTCCTGTCCAATTAAGTGGCTCGGATTTCCCGCCACTCTCCCTGGGCCGGTGCTCTCTCAGACGTCCACTTTTTACCCTCTTAACAAGCGCATTTGTCCTATCAATCAGGGAACCAGTCCTGTTTTTCCCACCGTTCGTGACTCTATCCCCCCCTACCTACCTGCCTACCGAGCCGTGTGTGTTTTGTGTGTTTTCTACCCGCGGTGGCTCAGCAGCCCCGTCGTGACCATATATTTACAACCCAAGTCACGGCATCGCGGTGCGAGTTAGCCTCGGGGGAGGTCGCCCAATTCCTTGGTCGCAGGAAACCATGAAGTTTGGTCCCATGAGAGGGCTTCTGGGTGAAAACCTGTTGGCCAGGTGACCTCCCCTCGGGGCACGATGTGGGGGTGTGTGTTCATCTGGGGGGTGGTGAGGGAAGAGCAGCGTCGGCCCCGTCGCTCGGATGTGGCGACGTCGCGGCCACGGCATCGGCAGGACGGCTTCGCTGCTGCGGCATCACAGCTGCAGGCATGGCTCCGATGGAGCGGCTTCGCTGCTGTGGCACCACAAACTGTTTAGCCGCTCTTTCTACATTGAATAATGGTATACATTTAAGTGATATGCAGAGTAGAAGCAAGATTAACAGTTTAATTACTGAATCCAAATCGCTGTAGCAGTAGTTGTGGTAGTAATACATGTTCAATGAAAAACTTTAAGCATCGTAGACACTGGGATGGTGGGTGTTCATCATACAAATTAAAACTGTCTGTTTATGAAGCGTATATAATTGATCCTAAATTACTGATTTGTCCTAAATTACTGATTTGTCCGAAATCCCTGTCGTAAACTGTGAATCGCGAGACGCATCCATCTGTACAGTAACCCCTGAGACTGCGCCTGTTCAGAGATATTATACAGTGAAGGAAAAAAGTATTTGATCCCCTGCTGATTTTGTACGTTTGCCCACTGACAAATAAATGATCAGTCTATAATTTTAATGGTAGGTTTATTTGAACAGTGAGAGACAGAATAACAACAACAAAATCCAGAAAAACGCATGTCAAAAATTGTATTAATTGATTTGCATTTTAATGAGGGAAATAAGTATTTGACCCCTCTGCAAAACATGACTTAGTACTTGGTGGCAAAACCCTTGTTGGAAATCACAGAGGTCAGACGTTCCTTGTAGTTGGCCACCAGGTTTGCACACACCTCAGGAGGGATTTTGTCCCACTCCTCTTTGCAGATCTTCTCCAAGTCATTAAGGTTTCGAGGCTGACGTTTGGCAACTCGAACCTTCAGCTCCCTCCACAGATTTTCTATGGGATTAAGGTCTAGAGACTGGCTAGGCCACTCCAGGACCTTAATGTGCTTCTTCTTGAGCCACTGCTTTGTTGCCTTGGCCGTGTATTTTGGGTCATTGTCATGCTGGAATACCCATTCACGACCCATTTGCAATTCCCTGGCTGAGGGAAGGAGGTTCTCACCCAAGATTTTACGGTACATGGCCCCGTCCATTGTCCCTTTGATGCGGTGAAGTTGTCCTGTCCCCTTAGCAGAAAAACACCCCCAAAGCATAATGTTTCCACCTCCATGTTTGACGGTGGGGATGGTGTTCTTGGGGTCATAGGCAGCATTTCTCCTCCAAACACGGCGAGTTGAGTTGATGCAAAAGAGCTCCATTTTGGTCTCATCTGACCACAACACTTTCAAACAGTTGTCCTCTGAATCATTCAGATGTTTATTGGCAAACTAGAGACGGGCATGTATATGTGCTTTCTTGAGCAGGGGGACCTTGCGGGCGCTACAGGATTTCAGTCCTTCACGGCGTAGTGTGTTACAAATTGTTCTCTTGGTGACTATGGTCCCAGCTGCCTTGAGATCATTGACAAGATCCTCCCGTGTAGTTCTCGGCTGATTCCTCACCGTTCTCATGATCATTGCAACTCCACGAGGTGAGATCTTGCATGGAGCCCCAGGCCGATGGAGATTGACAGTTCTTTTGTGTTTCTTCCATTTGCGAATAATCGCGCCAACTGTTGTAACCTTCTCACCAAGCTGCTTGGCAATGGTCTTGTAGCCCATTCCAGCCTTGTGTAGGTCTACAATCGTGTCCCTGATATCATTGGAGAGTTCTTTGGTCTTGGCCATGGTGGAGAGTTTGGAATCTGATTAATTGATTGCTTCTGTGGACAGGTGTCTTTTAGACAGGTAACAAGCTGAGATTAGGAGCACTCCCTTTAAGAGTGTGCTCCTAATCTCAGCTCGTTACCTGTATAAAAGATACCTGGGAGCCAGAAATCTTTCTGATTGAAAGGGGGTCAAATACTTATTTCCCTCATTAAAATGCAAATCAATTTATAACATTTTTGACATGCGTTTTTCTGGATTTTTTTTTGTTGTTATTCTGTCTCTCACTGTTGAAATGAACCTACCATTAAAATTATAGACTGATCATTTCTTTGTCAGTGGGAAAACGTACAAAATCCCTCACTGTGTGTTAACCAGCCGCGTAACCAAAACTTAACACAACACACACACACTGCCCTAACGGGTAAAAATATGGGTGACGTTTCAGGCGATGGCCCATCTTCATAGCACGTTTATTATGTTTCCTTAATATAATTATTAGCCGAATTTTAGTCCAGTTCCAGCTCTATCTATTTAATTTCGTCATTCCCTTCGTCTTTTCATCTAAATTTAAATAAGTCGTCCTCCCCCTCCACCAACCAGGGTTGTGAAATAAGGTCACTTCATCCAGCAGCGAATAGACAAAGGAATTTGCATTTTTTTAACAATACCAATCCGCTCTCAATCTTGATGAGTCAATAAAATATAACCAATGCTCTTCATAGGCGTGTTTACATTCACTGTGCTATAGTCTTCATATAACAGCGGAGCGCGAGTGTCTAACCATTGAGGAACTCGCGTCTCTCCCCGTCGGGGTGTTTGACCGTCTGGCTCAGCTGACAGGACTAGATTTAAGCCACAACCAGTTCACAGCTCTCCCCGCTCAGGTGTTTGACCGCCTGGTGAATCTGCAGCTGTTGCATTTAAACAACAACCAGCTGAAAAGTGTTCCCAGGGACAGGTTTGACAAACGGAGCCAGTACTACCAGCAACGGTCTCTGCTTGTTCGCTAAGCACTTAGGTAGAGATGACACTCGGCACGAGTAGCGTTCAGGTTATAAAGCTACCGCGTTATTGACATCCACAGTCATCACCATCGTCATGGTGTAATCTGCAGTGTCACTGAGCATGAGTGAATAATAAATGGTGAATCGTGTGAATTATGAGAGCTGATATTGCCCAGCGACAAAGCAGAGCCCGTTTCTGGCAGTGCTAGCTCCGTTTGTCAAACGCACCCCTGGGAACGCTCGTCAACTGGTTGTTATACAAATGCAGATGCTGCAGATTCACCAGGCGGCTAATCACCCAAGTGAAGGGAGAGGCAAGTTCCTCACTGCGCATGAACCTCAGACACTCGCTATCTGCTGGTCTACGAAGACTCTAGCAAAGTCAATGTAAAGTCAACGACCACAAAGAGCACTGGTTACATTTTATTCACCGATCCAGCTTGTCAGTGGATTGGCATTGTTAAAAAAATATACAATTAATTATCCTCTTGTCTATCCATATTTTACGACACTATTGAACAACAAATAATGGTCTAACTTAGGTCAAATAGACGAAGGTAATGACGAAATGAAGTACACGGCTCAAACTGGACTTCACTTCCACGAAGATGTAGACAATCGTTAATAGCACTGCCTTAGAGTGAAAATATATGAAAGCGACGTTGCAGGCACCTACATTTACGTGCTATGAAGAATGGTCGTCGCCCGAAACGTCACCTGCTATATAGTTTCCCTTTATGGTGGTGTGTGTTTTGTTGAGTTTATTTTGCTATCTGTGCTTGTGCACCACTGCCTGCCAGAGCAGTATTCAGTAATCTGTAAAGTTCCACAAGCTGCCATCGACTCAACTTAGGCTGTCACCTCAGGAACACTTTCAGACGGAATGAATACCAACCCTGACCTGGCTGGTGAGTCTACGCGACCTTAACCTGGGTGAGTCCAAATTAACGGAGCTGCCCATAGGAGCAGAAAAGTTGCCTACACTGGCTGACTTACGTGTGGACCTAAACCAGTGGAAGAGCATTAACGGGAGAACAGTGAGCTATTTCAATTGTGGATTGTATACATATGTCGTCAGCTACATAATGCACGATTGTGGCCTTGTCCATAATAATTGTCTCCACTCTCTTTTTTTGCGGAACTTGGACCCCCCTAATAGAAATGTGTGCCGGTTTGAAACTTTAACGATGGCCTGTAATGATTACAATAATGCAATTACTACTTTAGTAACTGGGGTGCTGCTGTAACGTAGTGGTCCACACACTGGACTTGCAAACCCAAGGTCGCCGGTGCAGTCTCTCGGTGCGGCAATCAAAACCATGGTGCACGTTTCTTAAATCCTCCCTGCAACCCCCCCCCCCCCCAGCCTCCCCCACCCCCCGTATCCACCCAGCAGTATAAATTAATAAAAGTCCATTATTCAATCGGCTGAACACGTGCGACGAGGAGAATTTTGGGTACTCTCACTTCTGCCAAGACGTATGACCAGTGTTGACGAGTATGCCAAATACACTCCATAAGGTCTCACTACAGCGTCATCGAGTGGAGGCCCTTCGCCATCAGTGATGTGAGTTCGACATCGCTAGGCTGCACCTGTTGCTGTGAGTCAGTAGCAGCAGGTGGAGGCAGCAGTGGCTTTGGGCCGCCAGTGGAGGTGAGCGCCGCTGCTCATGAGCACCGAACGGCCAAGACAAATCCCCCATGCGCCTCGCTCCATTGTTGCTGTTGCTGGCGATGGAGACGTCGGCGGAGTTTTCGCCACAAATCGGATACGAAGGAACATTCGCAAACAACAACAACAGCACCACGCATCCCGTCTAAGCGGCATCTCTCGGAGACGGATCGTAAAGGCCACGATAAAATGACTCCGAGCTGTTGAACATTCAGGACTAAGCTAATTGCCTGCAATCCATGCAAGAAGGGTGTCCTCCAACGTGTATAACACGCCAAATGTCCCAATGTGCAGACCCTCTTAGCATGGTCCAGTGACTCGGTGATACTTTTTTGGATGACTTACCTTCACTTTGCTTATGCTATTCTGAAGTATCCTGCTACCTATAAATCTAGCTGGTTGATTCCCTGAATATTAGCCCTAACAGGAATGGTCGACAACTGGTCCGCATGCAAATACAACTTCTGTAAATTCACCAGGAGCTCAAACACCCCAGTGGGAACGGTCGTCAGCTGGTTGGCGTGCAGCTGCAGATGCATCAGCTTCCCCAGTTTGTCAAAGATCTTTGGTGGCAGGGACTTCAGTTGGTTAGCTTCCATATCCAGTCGCGTCAGTTCAGTCAATTGGTCAAACACAGCGTGCGGTATCGCCTGCAGTTGGTTATTGTCCAGATACAACTCATTCAAATTCACTAGATGGTCAAAGACCCCGGTGGATAGAGCTGACAATTGGTTCTGATTCAAAAACAGATTTGCAGATTCACCAGCCAGTTAAACACCCGATCAGGAACGACCATCAGCAGATGCCCAGACAAATACAAGATGTGGAAATTTGCCAAAATGTGCCTGGATTAAAGTTCACTGCAGCCAGATTGCCGATCTGAAATTCCACAAGTATTTGCTTTCTTATTTATATTTTCCAGGCATTATACCAATTTAAGAAACAGCGTAATATTACGACGTTTATATGTGGGTGTTTTGCGCCAGTTATTCAATTTGTTATATTAACGCCAGGCCATGATATGAAGGATCAATTTGTAATTCTCAAACATCCTGGTGGTTTGACGCGACGCTGGTTCCCAAGAATATATCAACTTGGTATGAATGGAATCATATGATGAAAAATAGACTTATATTTCACATTAAATTGCTTTACAGCAATGACTTTTAGTGAATGTATGCCCGGTATAAAAAATAACTCACTTTAGTCAATAACACTATCTTGAGTATATTAGTGTATATGTAAGTATGCATGTTTATGCATAACAACTACCAAGATAGTGTTATTAGTCAATAACACTATCTTGAGTATATTAGTGTATATGTAAGTATGCATGTTTATGCATAACAACTACCATTCACCACTAAGTGGCAGTGACGTCATTGCCTTGCTTGTGCCAGGCTATGTGCACTTTAAAGCCTTATAAATTATCGAATGCCTGCTGGTAGTCGGTCACATGACAGACCCAAGTGCCATGGGTTGACAAACTGAGATGACTGCAGATGCACCACCTGTGTCCCAGACTGTGCCAACGTGCTGTATTTTAGCCACCCAGCAATCCGCTTGTTGTTGTGCGCATCGCTCCTCTGGCCTCCGCATGTTGCGTCCTTCACGAGCCTCCTCCACAGAGGCTGATCTTGACACTGCTGGTACCAGATCTTTGGCAAGTGCACTCTGGACAATACCCTCTCCTACCACATCATTCCATCTCTTTTCTAACCCGTGCCACGCCCATTCAGCCACTTCTATCCGGCCGAACAAAAGCTCTTGCGCATGCATTGCCGAGTCGGATGGCGGGGTCAGAGGGGTGGCCGGGCAGGGAACGCCGTTGCAGGAAGAGAGGGAAGAGGGTAAATGTCAACAGAAGAAGAGACAACACCCACGAGCCAGCAGCCAGAGGGCCACGGAGACAATGAGGAGGTGGAGAAGGCCCCTGGCCCTACCGTGGCCAACTGGGCGGGGGAGGTCGAGGCGAGAGAGGGCCAGGAAAGAGCACCGGGGGATGGAGGATGGGAGTAGAACTTTGCATAAAGTGAAGAAAAGAAAGTGGAGGGCGTCGAGGTCCTCAAGGTGATCTGCTCCCGTGCGTGATCCGGAACCTGCCGGCCTTTTGCCGGATGCGGTGACATCGGAGGAGGACGTGGTGGTGGCAAAGGTGGGACAGGGAAGAGGAGCCCCTCCAAAGTTAGGGGACGAGGGACAATTGCTCGACCTAGGAGGAAAAAACAGGTACAAAGTGCTGGAAGAGGTGTCGGGGTCAGATTAGACACCGCAGAGCATGGAACTTATGGTGGCTTTGGTAAACGTGCGAGGGATCTGGGGCAGGGCCAGACGAACGGCAGTGATACAGTACTTGCAGCGCAATGAAAAATGACATATTCCTGCAAGAATGCCACCTACCATATTCCCCCAGTGGGGCAGAATTGATAGAGCCCTGGGTCGGCCGTTACTTTTGGTAAGGGAGTAATGGTAATAAGAACACCGGTGTCGTCATACTCTTGGGCAGCCGAAAGGTCGAGATACTGGAGACACAAGATGTGGTCCCCGGCCGGCTCCACTACATTGACGTTCCTACGATGGGGGAGGAATTGTTGGATAACGTGGCGGCCCTGTTGCTGACACTGCAGCATGCTATATTGGGCGGGGATTTTAACTGCTCTGCCTGGCAGATGTCATACAGGCATCCAGAAGCAGGAAGCTAGACCCCTGCACCAGGAAACTGAACCGGCTGCTTCAGGACTTTAAACTGACAGATACTTTTCCATTGATGCACCCAATTTGGCTGGGGTATACTTGGTCTAGCAGCTCCGGAGCATCGCAGTCGAGGATAGATTTTCTTTTCGTGTCTGCCATTGTCAAGATGGAGGGTGCGGGGATAGAGCCCTTTTCTTTTTCCGATCACAAGATGACGACGGCGAAATTTAGAATCCCGGGCGGCCTGCGGTTGGGGAGGGGGATCTGGAAAATGAATCTAAGCCTTCTAAAGGATGAAAAAGTGATCGGGGATTTTTTCAGTAGCTACGAGGAATGGCAAAGCTTGCAGGGTTGCTTCGGCACCCTTTGTGGAATGGTGGGAAATAGTAAAGGGCAGGGCCAGGGATTTCTTCCAGGCTCGGAGCAGGAGGAAGAGCATCAGGAATTAATTGAGAAGGTGGAATGACCGGTTGGAAAGGGCCTATAAATTGCTAGAACTGGGCTTCCCAGTTATGATGGAGATAGGACAGCTAAAGGAGACAATTACCTCGACACTGGAGAAGCAAGCAGCACAACTCGTTTTTGGGGGTAGGGTCAAGGCGGAGGAAGGAGAAAAGTGCACTAGATTTTTCTTCAAAAAACGTAGGGAAGCAGATAACGTAGTCAGGGAGCTGGTAAGCCCCGACCCGGGGCAAACTGACAACTGCAGAAGCAATTGCGGAGTTCGGCACGGGACTATTACAGGGAACTATATGGGAGTAAGGTGTCGGAGGCCGGGGCAAAATAATCCCTTCTGGAAGAGGTAAACCAAGTGATCACAGATCCCGGGGGAATAATTTCAGATGGGGGCGCTAGAAGAGGCTGTGAAGGGACAACGCAGGCACAAAACATGGACGGGATTCCAGCTGAATTTTATACTACTTTCTGGAACACAGATAAACACGACATATTACTATTGTACAGAGAAATCCTGGAGGATGGCCCAGTGCCGGAATCCATGAGGAGGGGGGGTATTCGCCCTCATATGTAAGGGGAAGGGGGAACGCAACAACCTGGGGAGCTGGCGCTCCAGCTCTTTACTGAACTCGGACTATTTATTTTCGTCATTCTGTGTGTCTTATCACCATATAGATGTATTGCGATTTTCTTTTAACTTAAAACTCGTTCGCCTGGCTTACGCTGGCGTGGTTGTGGGGTGGGGCCATTATTAAGCCTGCGTCGGATGTGCAGATGGCTTTTGCGATAACGATCTTTTTGCTCTGGCGTGAAATTCCTTCCTCGCGCTCTGCGGGAGATACAAAGGCGGCCGGGAGTACCTCTATCTCTGGCTGCTTTTGAGTTAACTTCCCCTCCCTTCTTGGTGACCCAGGAGGCTGTGTCCATCAAATCGGTTTGTTTGTGAAATCGTCCCCTGGCCATCTGGTGAATCGCAGATAACGTCTCTGCCCTCTCCTGGAGTTTATTATTCTATACATTTATGGCCTTTTTACGATTTCCATCTGTGTTTGCGTGTTTTTGGGTTTGTGTGTTTTTATTCATTATTTTGGGTCATTAAAAAGAATATATATGCGAATATTAGTATTGATATTAATTTTGGAAAAAGGTCGATATCCAACACAATCCATACATTATCAGAGCATTTTTTTTTTGCATGTTCACCACAAGTACGTGTGGTTAATACAGACAGGATTCCTTGAAAAAAATGATGTTGTTTGGTGTTTTAATATCTTAACAACTGTTTTATTATTATTGGTTCTTTCAGTAAAGTCACGTAGAAGGGAAACAATAAAATAATAAAAAGAAAGGTTAAAACGTATTGTTATATCCCACGGGGGTGATTGACCACCTGGTGAATATGCAGAAGCTGTATTTGCATGGAAACCAACTGTCTGCTTTACCCCCCGGGGTATTTGACAAACTGACTCAACTAACTATCTTGAGTCTGTACGACAACTAACTCTCGGCTCTGCCCGCCGGGGTGTTTGACCGCCTCATAAATCTGAAGGAGCTGTATTTTTCTAATAACCAGCTGACATCTCTCCCCGCCGGGCGTTTTGACAAACTCACCAAGCTCATGACTCTGAGTCTGCACAAACAGCATCTGAAGAACGTCCCTGACAGCCTTTATATCGACATCATCGTGCAGCACTGTGGACAATTAAACAGTGATGCTAGGAACATGGACACGTTCTAGATGACATGGAATGCGGTTGTGACATCACACTAGAACATAGGTCATGTAGAGATAATTCCCGGTAGTGTTTAGTGGCACCCCTCCTCGAAACGTGCAGTGGAATTTCTCCACGTTCTAACCAAATTAAGCCAAACGCTCCACCACCAGCAGTCGCATGAGCAAGAAAGCAACTGGAGGGATGCACCTTTACCTCTTAACTGAGAGACCAGGACAAATTGTACCGTGCGTTGACTTAGGCCGCCATGCAGTTTGGAGACGGTTTAGAACCGGTAACCGATTCTGAAAACGGTCACTGGAATACAGGTTGTCATCTAACACCTCTAATAACTCGTGCTACTTGAAATCTAGTTGGGAGTATGAAAGAACACGTTTTAATGTGACTCAATATGGATATCGAACACGTGCATATATTAACTGCATCTGCTATACAGTATCTCACTAGCAACCAGCTGCAGGCCATTCCCAAGGGAGCGTTTGACCGCCTGGGGAATCTGGAGATTCTGTACATGTGCTGCAACAAGCTCACAAAGATGCCCAGTGGCGCGTTTGCCAAACTCACCCGGCTGAAGAAGTTGAGTCTGGAGCAGAATCAACTGAAGAGCGTTCCCAGGGCGTGTTTCACAAACGGAGCCAGCACATTTCTAGATTTGAAGCTTTCGTGACTGCAAGGATCCATACTCTTTGGTTCTATTCGGTAAAGTCACGTAGGTAAAAAATGAACAAAAATCACGACGTTTCGGCCACAACACAAGTAACCTTCATCAGGTGAAGGGACCAACCTGTCCAGAAGACAGCATTGGAGTGAAATAAGTCAAGCGCAGGTCGCCTCCTTTAAGCTGTGAGTGGGTCAACAGAAAAAAACGCCTTGACAAAGGAATTAGCTCGCAAATAGGGAGACGAAACGACATGTCTCTGACCGAATTCGCGAGCACAAATCTGATTTGAAACACGGCAGAACGAATTCTTTTGCCGTGGCTGATCGCTGTTACAACGCTGTGGGTGATCACGATATAGTCTTCTCCGATACCAAGGTTCTATGTAAACCCACGGGTTTCTATAAGAGATTTGTTCACGAGGCAATTCAGATTTACAAACACAGACTTAATTTCAACCGAGTAGATGGCTTCATATTTAAGCAACTATTGTAAAGTTGTTCTAAATCGAACCAAACGTTAAAGGAATTTGTAATGGTACAGTATGTTCATTCAATTAGTGGCATCCCAAACGCTCACGGTGGTGCTAATGTATTTTTTATGCTATTTGCGAGCTTGCACAGCTTTACATTTTATGCTAATTCCTTTGTCAAGGCGTCTTTTCTGTTTACCTACTCACAGCTTAAAGGAGGCGACCTGCGCTTGACTTTTTTCACTCCAACGCTGTGCTCTGGACAGGTTGGTCCCTTCACCTGATGAAGGCCACTTGTGTTGTGGCCGAAACGTCGTGATTTTTGTTGATTTTTTACCTACGTTAATTTACCGAATAGAACCAAAGAGTACGGAGCCAGCAGAGCCAGAAACGGTTTCTGCTTGTCCGCTGGGTACTGGGATAGAGATGAAGCTCGGAACGAGTAGTGTTCAGTTTATAAAGCTACCGCGTTATTAAGATCCACAGTCATCGTCACCATCGTCATGGTGTCCTCTTGTGCCTTCGTGCATCAGTGAATATTAAATGAGTAAATCGTGTTAAAAATGATAGCTGATATTGAGCGGTTACAGAAACTCGCGCGTGCTGTGCGGGACTGCGTTCATGCAGCAACAACAAGAACACAACGATAACCACTACACAACGAAACACCAAAAAATAACAATGACATGTAACAAAGCACACAACAACCACACCACAACACACGATAATTCACACAGAGCAACTAAACAAACAGCACCAACAACGCGTCACTTTCCTCATACAGGAATTGGACACACATCCGATTGTAGCACCATACCAAGACTCAATGAGGCTCCCATGGGCAGGCAAATGCGGGAATTAATTACCCTGATCGAGTACAAATGTTCCACACAGACAGTGCGCACGGCATAGAGCGAGGTACCGAGATGTGAGGTGAACACAACGCCACTAATGCGAGGAAGGGACCCGTGTTGAACTTCACTGCCGTATGAAGAGCGACGCTCTCCTGTAGAGGCTGCTCTACAGCATGAGATCAGCATCTGCAATTCGTGCTCAGTGATGAACTCACAGCCCTCCTCGCCGGTTTGTTTGATAGTCTGACGCAACTTACTGTCCTGGACCTTGGTACCAACCAGCTAACAGTTCTACCCACGGGGGTGTTTGATCGCCTGGTGAATCTGCAGCAGCTGTATCTGGGGGCAAACCAGCTGTTGGCTCTATCCGTTGGGGTGTTCGACAAACTGACCCAGCTCACTCATCTGGGTCTGGACCTCAACCAACTGAAGAGCGTACCACTGACGCAGGCCTCTACTCGCATCGGAATTCTAAGCGAGTTCTGCTCTACCAACGTCTTGGGGTTGGAGCAGCCGTATGCAGGGTTAGCGTCCACTAGGATGGAGCAGCACGCCTTGATAATCGCCATTATGCCATCCTGGTGAAGGGAGGCGCGGTGGAGAGGGAGAAAAAAGCTCGTGAAAAAAACGCTAAGATGCCAGCTAGCAACCTCAGCAAAGATGAGCGTTTTGAATTATATAAATTAAAAAAGAGGGATGACATTGTAGTCCTCTCAGCTGACAAGGGCAATGCTACTGTCATCATGGATGAAATAGAATACAACAAAATTAAAGAATTACTCGACGGTGGTAGTTATACAAAAATAAAAAGAGATCAAACCAACAGCCTCATCACACAAACCAACGAAATAATTTCTGATTCAACCGCATTAATTGATCAATCTAAACAGTTTTCGTTGAAACGTTCTGCTGCAAGGCCACCAAGATATTACGGCTAACCAAAAATACACTGCAGCATGTTATATTGGGCGGGAATTTTAACTGCTCTGCCTGGCAGATGTCATACAGGCATCCAGAAGCAGGAAGCTAGACCCCTGCACCAGGAAACTGAACCGGCTGCTTCAGGACTTTAAACTCACAGATATTTTTTCCATTGATGCACCCAATTTGGCTGGGGTATACTTGGTCTAGCAGCTCCGGAGCATCGCAGTCGAGGATAGATTTTCTTTTCGTGTCTGCCAAAGTCAAGACGGAGGGTGCAGGGATAGAGCCCTTTTCTTTTTCCGATCACAAGATGACGACGGCGAAATTTCGAATTCCGGGCGGCCTGCGGTTGGGGAGGGGGATCTGGCAAATGAATCTAAGCCTTCTAAAGGATGAAAAAGTGATCGGGGATTTTTTCAGTAGGTACGAGGAATGGCAGAGCTTGCAGGGTTGCTTCGGCACCCTTTGTGGAATGGTGGGAAATAGTAAAGGGCAGGGCCAGGGATTTCTTCCAGGCTCAGAGCAGGAGGAGAAGCGTCAGGAATTAATTGAGAAGGTGGAATGACCAGTTGAAAAGGGCCTATAAATTGCTAGAACTGGGCTTCCCAGTTATGATGGAGATAGGACGGCTAAAGGAGAAAATTACCTCGACAGTGGAGAAGCAAGCAGCACAACTCGTTTTTGGGGGTAGGGTCAAGGCGGTGGAGGAAGGAGAAAAGTGCACTAGATTTTTCTTCAAAAAACGTAGGGAAGCAGATAACGTAGTCAGGGAGCTGGTAAGCCCCGATCCGGGGCAAACTGACAACTGCAGAAGCAATTGCGGAGTTCGGTACGGGACTATTACAGGGAACTATATGGGAGTAAGGTGTCGGAGGCCGGGGCAAAATAATCCCTTCTGGGAGAGGTAAACCAAGTGATCACAGATCCCGGGGGAATAATTTCAGATGGGGGCGCTAGAAGAGGCTGTGAAGGGACAACGCAAGCACAAAACATGGACGGGATTCCAGCTGAATTTTATACTACTTTCTGGAACACAGATAAACACGACATATTACTATTGTACAGAGAAATCCTGGAGGATGGCCCAGTGCCGGAATCCATGAGGAGGGGGGTATTCGCCCTCATATGTAAGGGGAAGGGGGAACGCAACAACCTGGGGAGCTGGCGCTCCATCTCTTTACTGAACTCGGACTATTTATTTTCGTCATTCTGTGTCTTATCACCATATAGATGTATTGCGATTTTCTTTTAACTTAAAACTCGTTCGCCTGGCTTACGCTGGCGTGGTTGTGGGGTGGGGCCATTATTAAGCCTGCGTCGGATGTGCAGATGGCTTTTGCGATAACGATCTTTTTGCTCTGGCGTGAAATTCCTTCCTCGCGCTCTGCGGGAGATACAAAGGCGGCCGGGAGTACCTCTATCTCTGGCTGCTTTTGAGTTAACTTCCCCTCCCTTCTTGGTGACCCAGGAGGCTGTGTCCATCAAATCGGTTTGTTTGTGAAATCGTCCCCTGGCCATCTGGTGATTCGCAGATAACGTCTCTGCCCTCTCCTGGAGTTTATTATTCTATACATTTATGGCTTTTTTACGATTTCCATCTGTGTTTGCGTGTTTTTGGGTTTGTGTGTTTTTATTCATTATTTCGGGTCATTAAAAAGAATATATATGCGAATATTAGTATTGATATTAATTTTGGAAAAAGGTCGATATCCAACACAATCCATACATTATCAGAGCATGTTTTTTTTGCATGTTCGCCACAAGTACGTGTGGTTAATACAGACAGGATTCCTTGAAAAAATTGATGTTGTTTGGTGTTTTAATATCTTAACAACTGTTTTATTATTATTGGTTCTTTCAGTAAAGTCACGTAGAAGGGAAACAATAAAATAATAAAAAGAAAGGTTAAAACGTATTGTTATATCCCACGGGGGTGATTGACCACCTGGTGAATATGCAGAAGCTGTATTTGCATGGAAACCAACTGTCTGCTTTACCCCCCGGGGTATTTGACAAACTGACTCAACTAACTATCTTGAGTCTGTACGACAACCAACTCTCGGCTCTGCCCGCCGGGGTGTTTGACCGCCTCATAAATCTGAAGGAGCTGTATTTTTCTAATAACCAGCTGACATCTCTCCCCGCCGGGCGTTTTGACAAACTCACCAAGCTCATGACTCTGAGTCTGCACAAACAGCATCTGAAGAACGTCCCTGACAGCCTTTATATCGACATCATCGTGCAGCACTGTGGACAATTAAACAGTGATGCTAGGAACATGGACACGTTCTAGATGACATGGAATGCGGTTGTGACATCACACTAGAACATAGGTCATGTAGAGATAATTCCCGGTAGTGTTTAGTGGCACCCCTCCTCGAAACGTGCAGTGGAATTTCTCCACGTTCTAACCAAATTAAGCTAAACGCTCCACCACTCTGGCCGGCACAGATTGATAATGACTGCACAGGTAATTCCTGTAATTAGCACGCAAGTTATATCGGTCGTACAATAGTTCTTGCGTATCTACTAGTTGGTGTACAAAATGTATTGTTTGTGCATAAATGCATAGTCGTCCATAAGAAATAGCAATGTAGCTGATGAGATATTCTGCAACTATACATTAATTGTGTTAGTTGCGCTTTATTAATATTACTATTGTGCTATATTTAGTGTATAATTTTAATTTATATTATTCATATGCGTTATTAAGAGTGGGTTAGTGGTAAAATTCCTGGTGGAGTAGCGATGATTGAGTACTGGAGTAGGCGAGGTCTATGCTAGAGTCTCGGTCTCGCAGTGTTTGTGCGACGCATGGTCTGGACTCGAAATACGAACTGTTGGAACAAACCACTGAGTTCAGTTCCCACTGGGATCCCTGACAACACCTAGGCCCTGGAATTGGGAAACAATCGCATAAAGCGATTGCCTCAGGGGGTATTTGACCCAGGGGGTCCCATCCACTCGCTTCATTGGGAACTCGATTCCTGCATCGCACGGTGTGTTTACATAATGACGCTTGATTGCAACGTGAATCGTTTGATGTTACTGATAGCGTTGTGATTAAGTTTACATATACATACATGTTTTTGGGTTTGTGTGTTTTTATTCATTATTTCGGGTCATTACAAAGAATATATATGCGAATATTAGTATTGATATTAATTTTGGAAACATTTAGATATCCAACATAATCCATATATTATCAGAGCATTTTTTTGCATGTTCGCCACAAGTACGTGTGGTTAATACAAACAGGATTCCTTGAAAAAAATGATGTTGTTTGGTGTTTTAATATCTTAACAACTGTTTTATTATTATTGGTTCTTTCAGTAAAGTCACGTAGAAGGGAAACAATAAAATAATCAAAAGAAAGGTTAAAACGTATTGTTATATCCTACGGGGGTGATTGACCACCTGGTGAATATGCAGAAGCTGTATTTGCATGGAAACCAACTGTCTGCTTTACCCCCCGGGGTATTTGACAAACTGACTCGACTAACTATCTTGAGTCTGTACGACAACCAACTCTCGGCTCTGCCCGCCGGGGTGTTTGACCGCGTCATAAATCTGAAGGAGCTGTATTTTTCTAATAACCAACTGACATCTCTCCCCGCTAGGTGTTTTGACAAACTCACCAAGCTCATGACTCTGAGTCTGCACAAACAGCATCTGAAGAACGTCCCTGACAGCCTTTATATCGACATCATCGTGCAGCACTGTGGACAATTAAACAGTGATGCTAGGAACATGGACACGTTCTAGATGACATGGAATGCGGTTGTGACATCACACTAGAACATAGGTCATGTAGAGATAATTCCGGGAAGTGTTTAGTGGCACCCCTCCTCGAAACGTGCAGTGGAATTTCTCCACGTTCTAACCAAATTAAGCCAAACGCTCCACCACCAACAGTCGCATGAGCAAGAAAGCAACTGGAGGGATACACCTTTACCTCTTAACTGAGAGACCAGGACAAATTGTACCGTGCGTTGACTTAGGCCGCCATGCAGTTTGGAGACGGTTTAGAACCGGTAACCGATTCTGAAAACGGTTACTGGAATACAGGTTGTCATCTAACACCTCTAATAACTCGTGCTACTTGAAATCTAGTTGGGAGTATGATAGAACACGTTTTAATGTGACTCAATATGGATATCGAACACGTTCATATATTAACTGCATCTGCTATACAGTATCTCACTAGCAACCAGCCGCAGGCCATTCCCAAGGGAGCGTTTGACCGCCTGGGGAATCTGGAGATTCTGTACATGTGCTGCAACAAGCTCACAAAGATGCCCAGTGGCGCGTTTGCCAAACTCACCCGGCTGAAGAAATTGAGTCTGGAGCAGAATCAACTGAAGAGCGTTCCCAGGGCGCGTTTCACAAACGGAGCCAGCACATTTCTAGATTTGAAGCTTTCGTGACTGCAAGGATCCATACTCTTTGGTTCTATTCGGTAAAGTCACGTAGGTAAAAAATGAACAAAAATCACGACGTTTCGGCCACAACACAAGTGACCTTTATCAGGTGAAGGGACCAACCTGTCCAGAAGACAGCATTGGAGTGAAATAAGTCAAGCGCAGGTCGCCTCCTTTAAGCTGTGAGTGGGTCAACAGAAAAAAACGCCTTGACAAAGGAATTAGCTCGCAAATAGGGAGACGAAACGACATGTCTCTGACCGAATTCGCGAGCACAAATCAGATTTGAAACACGGCAGAACGAATTATTTTGCTGTGGCTGATCACTGTTACAACGCTGTGGGTGATCACGATATAGTCTTCTCCGATACCAAGGTTCTATGTAAACCCACGGGTTTCTATAAGAGATTTGTTCACGAGGCAATTCAGATTTACAAACACAGACTTAATTTCAACCGAGTAGATGGCTTCATATTTAAGCAACTATTGTAAAGTTGTTCTAAATCGAACCAAACGTTAAAGGAATTTGTAATGGTACAGTATGTTCATTCAATTAGTGGCATCCCAAACGCTCACGGTGGTGCTAATGTATTTTTTATGCTATTTGCGAGCTTGCACAGCTTTACATTTTATGCTAATTCCTTTGTCAAGGCGTCTTTTCTGTTTACCTACTCACAGCTTAAAGGAGGCGACCTGCGCTTGACTTTTTTTCACTCCAACGCTGTGCTCTGGACAGGTTGGTCCCTTCACCTGATGAAGGCCACTTGTGTTGTGGCCGAAACGTCGTGATTTTTGTTTATTTTTTACATACGTGAATTTACCGAATAGAACCAAAGAGTACGGAGCCAGCAGAGCCAGAAACGGTTTCTGCTTGTCCGCTGGGTACTGGGATAGAGATGAAGCTCGGAACGAGTAGTGTTCAGTTTATAAAGCTACCGCGTTATTAAGATCCACAGTCATCGTCACCATCGTCATGGTGTCCTCTTGTGCCTTCGTGCATCAGTGAATATTAAATGAGTAAATCGTGTTAAAAATGATAGCTGATATTGAGCGGTTACAGAAACTCGCGCGTGCTGTGCGGGACTGCGTTCATGCAGCAACAACAAGAACACAACGATAACCACTACACAACGAAACACCAAAAAATAACAATTACATGTAACAAAGCACACAACAACCACACCACAACACACGATAATTCACACAGAGCAACTAAACAAACAGCACCAACAACGCGTCACTTTCCTCATACAGGAATTGGACACACATCCGATTGTAGCACCATACCAAGACTCAATGAGGCTCCCATGGGCAGGCAAATGCGGGAATTAATTACCCTGATCGAGTACAAATGTTCCACACAGACAGTGCGCACGGCATAGAGCGAGGTACCGAGATGTGAGGTGAACACAACGCCACTAATGCGAGGAAGGGACCCGTGTTGAACTTCACTGCCGTATGAAGAGCGACGCTCTCCTGTAGAGGCTGCTCTACAGCATGAGATCAGCATCTGCAATTCGTGCTCAGTGATGAACTCACAGCCCTCCTCGCCGGTTTGTTTGATAGTCTGACGCAACTTACTGTCCTGGACCTTGGTACCAACCAGCTAACAGTTCTACCCACGGGGGTGTTTGATCGCCTGGTGAATCTGCAGCAGCTGTATCTGGGGGCAAACCAGCTGTTGGCTCTATCCGTTGGGGTGTTCGACAAACTGACCCAGCTCACTCATCTGGGTCTGGACCTCAACCAACTGAAGAGCGTACCACTGACGCAGGCCTCTACTCGCATCGGAATTCTAAGCGAGTTCTGCTCTACCAACGTCTTGGGGTTGGAGCAGCCGTATGCAGGGTTAGCGTCCACTAGGATGGAGCAGCACGCCTTGATAATCGCCATTATGCCATCCTGGTGAAGGGAGGCGCGGTGGAGAGGGAGAAAAAAGCTCGTGAAAAAAACGCTAAGATGCCAGCTAGCAACCTCAGCAAAGATGAGCGTTTTGAATTATATAAATTAAAAAAGAGGGATGACATTGTAGTCCTCTCAGCTGACAAGGGCAATGCTACTGTCATCATGGATGAAATAGAATACAACAAAATTAAAGAATTACTCGACGGTGGTAGTTATACAAAAATAAAAAGAGATCAAACCAACAGCCTCATCACACAAACCAACGAAATAATTTCTGATTCAACCGCATTAATTGATCAATCTAAACAGTTTTCGTTGAAACGTTCTGCTGCCAGGCCACCAAGATATTACGGCTAACCAAAAATACACTGCAGCATGTTATATTGGGCGGGAATTTTAACTGCTCTGCCTGGCAGATGTCATACAGGCATCCAGAAGCAGGAAGCTAGACCCCTGCACCAGGAAACTGAACCGGCTGCTTCAGGACTTTAAACTCACAGATATTTTTCCATTGATGCACCCAATTTGGCTGGGGTATACTTGGTCTAGCAGCTCCGGAGCATCGCAGTCGAGGATAGATTTTCTTTTCGTGTCTGCCAAAGTCAAGACGGAGGGTGCAGGGATAGAGCCCTTTTCTTTTTCCGATCACAAGATGACGACGGCGAAATTTCGAATTCCAGGCGGCCTGCGGTTGGGGAGGGGGATCTGGCAAATGAATCTAAGCCTTCTAAAGGATGAAAAAGTGATCGGGGATTTTTTCAGTAGGTACGAGGAATGGCAGAGCTTGCAGGGTTGCTTCGGCACCCTTTGTGGAATGGTGGGAAATAGTAAAGGGCAGGGCCAGGGATTTCTTCCAGGCTCAGAGCAGGAGGAGGAGCGTCAGAAATTAATTGAGAAGGTGGAATGACCGGTTGGAAAGGGCCTATAAATTGCTAGAACTGGGCTTCCCAGTTATGATGGAGATAGGACGGCTAAAGGAGAAAATTACCTCGACAGTGGAGAAGCAAGCAGCACAACTCGTTTTTGGGGGTAGGGTCAAGGCGGTGGAGGAAGGAGAAAAGTGCACTAGATTTTTCTTCAAAAAACGTAGGGAAGCAGATAACGTAGTCAGGGAGCTGGTA